AAATATGCAATTGCAAATTTGTTAATTTTTTATAGTATATGTGATATACATATATATGTAACTTTTCATTTTTTTTTAGAAGCTTATCACTATGTTACTTAAAATGATCTCATCTGGTATAGGTAGTTTAAATACCACACCTGGGGACACTGAAGTAGAATTAGAAGATGCTATGTAGACTTGCTTAGGGCTGCAAGAGAGAGCCTCAGAGAAAGAAGGTAAGACACAGTATATGTGTGCTGTAGAGGATCACATTAGAATGGGGTGAAAGTGAGCTTGAAAAGGTCTAGAGAAGTAAAAGCCATAAATACAAAGGGGATATCTGTTCCCCACAGTGAGGATATGACAGAGAAGAGAGTAGTACAGCAGATCAGTAAGCACCAGGGAATAACTAGACTTTTAAAAAAATATTTATTTATTTTTGAGAGAAAGAGAGAGACAAAGAGAGCAAAGGGAGGAGCAGAGAGAGGGAGAAAGAAGAACCTAAGCAGGCTCCGCACTAACAGTGGATACCTGATGTGGGCCTAGAATTCAAGAAACTTAAGATCATGACCTGAGAGAAAGTTAGATGCTTAACCACCTGAGCCACCCAGGCATCCCAATAACCACAGACTCTTAAGTCAGTAGCCCCTACTCAGACCAGAAGCCATTGAACAAAGACAGTTCCTTCCTCCCTTCCTCCCTCCCTCCCTTCCTCCCTCCCTTCCTTCCTTCCTTCCTTCCTTCCTTCCTTCCTTCCTTCCTTCCTTCCTTCTTTCCTTCCTTCCTCCCTCCCTCCCTTCCTCTCTCTCTCTCTCTCTTTCATTTCCTGGGGGTTGATGTATATCTTTTTCTTCATAAAGAAACAAACACCTTCTGTAACACTTTTTTTGTAAAGCTAATATTGCCTTCTGTTCACTTTTTCATTCTGTCACTGACACTATATTTGTTATTTAGGAAACAGCAATACAGATTTTGATTGAATGTAGTGTCATCCTAATTATCAAGAGTTGGGAGCATCCAGTAATAGTAATATATGAAATAATGTGACATAAAAAACTCATAGAATATTAGATTTAAAAAATGTGGAAGTCAGAGGCCATTTAGGCCCAGAGACTCACCTCCTCACTGAAATATATTTACCCGAGATACATAATATTTAATTGTGAAGAATAGCAGCATTAATTCAAAACAGGATTTTTTTTTAAAAAAGGCCTTGAAATAATAGGTTGAACCATATCAACTTGCCAATATTTTCTGTTTTTAACCTTTGGATAAGACAATTTCACAGAAGCCAGTCAATATATATACTATTTGCTTAACAGGTTAATAGTGTGTACTTCAGACAAGGGGAGTGAGGCTAAGGGAGAGAGGGAAGCACATTTGATTCCATTCACATCTAAATTACAGTAAAACCTTGGATTGTGAGGAACTTGTTCTGCGAGTGTTCTGCAAGATGAGCCAACATTTCTAATAAAATTTGGTATGATAAAGAAGTGATATCTTGCGATGTGAGTAGTATGTGATGCGAACATAACATGATCACAACTGAGCCAATGGTTTTTGAAATTCGCATGGATATGTAAGTGCTTTGGATTACAAGCATGTTTCCAGAATGAATTATGCTCACAAAACAAGGTTTTACTATGTCTTTTTTTTTTTTTTTTTTTTTTTTTTTTAACCAGGGACATGAGCAGGGTATATTCAGGTATTACTTGGTTTCCTAACAAAACAATCACACTTAGCTTTTCACAAAATGACTAGATAAGAAAATAGACATTTCCAATTCAGATTATCCACAAGGCAAGTTTATTTCAATTACTGTGACAGCAAACAGGATATACCAGTTGGAACAGAGTGTATCTCTTGCTTCAGCTTCCTTGGGTGGCTTTATTCCCTAGATTGCTGGGGGCTGATGGAGTCCTGCTGCAGGTGGTGAAGGGGGTCAGGGGCAGGTGCCAGCTAGAAGCCAAGGTTACTTCAACACATGTCTTACTAAAGGAATCAGTCTCCTCTTTTTATCTTCCTAAGGAGATTGGATTTATATACTGCAAATGTTTGTGGCTACATTCTGACTGAACATTCAACTCCTTCCCAACATGCATATTCTTGTTTTTTGTTTTCTTCAAATTCTTGCTAATTCAGGTTTTTTTAATGCACAGGGAAGAAAAAAATCTACTTTTAGTTTGTGATCATAGCACCTATTGAAATAAAATTTAATGGTAGGTATTTTATTATCCTAGAGTTAGATTTAGTAAATATTTTAAAATAATATTTATAAGTAAATCAGGGTTGAGGCCTAGGATATTGTGGTGTAAATAACTATTCTCTACAGGTATATAGAAAAGAAACATTTCTATATTTTGATTTGAGGTTCTACTATGTCAATCATCCTAAATCTAGGGTATAAATTTATAAACTGTGAAACTAAGCAATGATAAATTTTGTATGGACACCGTAGTAGGCATGATTATGTGATGAGGCAGATGTCCCTATGTATTACCTTGGTTTTTTTTTTTTTTCCAGGGAAAATGAATGAATATACATTCATTTATTCCTGCAAAGGTGATGTTTAACTAGACGCCAGCTACAAACTCTTGCGAATTTACCTATGATAAAAAGTCTAGGAGATGTTTGCTGTCATTTGCATTAACAAGGGACATTTTAAAAGTTTGGGGATTGCAAGTAGGGACAATCCCAGCAGCTCAAGAGCAAGGATCCTCTAAAGGAAAGTTGTATTTTCTAGGCTTTCAGATGGACTAAGCAGAATACATTCCTGTTTAGCCCTGCACTAGAGAAACGCCATTATTAATTATGCAAACTTTTTTTTTTTTTTGGATGGGTAAAAGAATTTGAGAATGACTCAGCAAGAGATTTCAAAACCAAATACCTCTACCTACTTATTGAACATGTTCTTTTCAAATCTGCTCTCTGTTTTGTGACCTGGGGTTAAAAGTTTGAGATCTACCGAAGAGAGGCTCTGTTACTCCATCAGCCTTTGAGAAAGCCGCAGTTTGGCCAGGAATATCAAATCAGTTCTACCTAGTCCTCTCATCCTTTTCGTCTTAGTGTAAGTTGGAGACAGATGATACTTCTTGGAGTTTAGCCTCCATTTTTCTTTAACAAACATAAAGCATGGTAAAATCCACTAACCTAACTGGGTCTACCTGTCAAAGGCATATGTGCCAGAAGGAGGATGGTTCCTTTCATATTTTCCTCTAGATAACACTGGATATTGATGGTAACTTGGAAAAGGGGGGGGGGTCGTTTAGATGTTAAATAAAGATGTAAAGGCCACAGAAGATTTCTTACAAGCCCCTGCTAAAGTGACAGTTCAAGATTGAGTTGGAAAAGGCAAGGCTCCCAATCACCAGTCTGGGGGAGGAGATGTCCTCTCACCTATTTTGGAAACTGCTTGCAGATGTGGGGAAACCACTGAATTGCTCACAACAGGGGTTTTGCAGAGATTTCCTCTGATTTTTTCTCCCTCCCCTATTTCCCACAACCTGTGTTTGTCTTGCGTCTGCTAGGCTGACATGTGGTTTACCTCGCTGATCCCGCTGCCAGGTTTTACACACTCTCCTCAGAAGTAAAACAACTGAAGCCTAAGGATACCGAGCAACTCCGGGCATGGGCGCCAGAACTGTCACAGAAAATTTGCTTCTCGAGTCTCCCTTCCAACTTCCCTTCCTGCGCCCACGTGAGCCGGAGCGCCAGCCCATCAGCAAGGTCTTAGCGTTTCCTGCTGCTGCAATCTGTAACTTGATTTTGGATTTTTTCTTTTTTTTTTTTTTTAATTGCAGTTCTAGGGAATCGTAGTTCTTAGCAAAACTTTGTTGGTTGGAGGACTTTTAAAGCAGTCTATTTCCTAACCCAAGTCGCGAAGGCTCAGACGCTTTTCCTCCATTCCCGGGCTGCACTAAGGTTAAACCGCAGCAAAGGAAAGAAACACACCCGCTGTTTATTTGGGGGGGAGGGGAAGTAGAGGTTTGCAGCTAAGTTATCACGATCCCTCGCGCCACCCCCGGTCTGGCACTCTCGGCTGACACGTACATCATCTATTAATTGCTATTCGCGGACGCAGATACATAATATATTCATTTTTATCTTTACTAAAATATAAATGGAATTGTCAGCGCGCTCGTGTCTGTTTGTTTGTATAAGGCTATCAAAAGAAGTCAGAGAGGAGGCTGTGGCCCGGATCCTGACCCTGATTGTATGAATAAGTAAGCAGGATGCAAGTGATTGGGTTAGATGCTGCGAAGATTTTTTTTTTTTTTTCAAGTTAGGAAGAGGGTAAAAAGACAGCTTGGGGGTGGGGGGGAAGGCAAACGGTGCATCCCCACATCCTCACACTTTTGCTCTTTTCGGTCAGTTGCTTTGCTGGCTTCTGCAGGCTTTTAAGGTCTCGCGGCGTAGACATGCCTGCCCCCCACCCCCTTCCTCGGTCTCCCCTTTCAGTTCAGATGTGCTGATGTGCAGACCGGATTCATCTTCCCGGGGCGGCGGCGGCGGCGGCGGCGGCGGCGGGCGCAGGCGGCGGCGGCGGCGGCGGCGGCTCGTGCTCGACCGCCGGGTCCTGGCAGCGGCGGGGGCGCAGCGCTGGAGCCCGAGCTCCGCTGGCAGCTGAGCCCGCGGGGCGCCGCTCGCCCAGCCGCGGCCGCGGGAACTTCGGCCGCGAGAGGGACGACCCGGCAGGCTGCGAGCGCCCGCTCCGCCGGAGCCGAGTGTGCCCGCAGCCGCCCCTCCCCGCCTCCGGGAGCCCAGCTCCTCACCTGCCCTCCGCCCACCCGCGGGCCCCTGGCCAACTTCTCCCTGCAGCTGGGGGTAACAGGCAGTTCTCGCCCTGCCTGCTGTCCCGACGGCATCCGCATGTCCTCGGACACCTGAACGCCCCAGGGTCGCCGCGGAGCCTCCCGGCAGGGAGAGGAGCGCCGGGTCCCCTCGCGCCGCACCTCGGCGCGGACCGCGGACGCCTCACCTCCCGGTCCCGTCCCTTCCTTTTCCTCCAGGGGAGGAGGATGGGGTTGGAAACGCTTCCCCCGAGGATGCTTGTGTGGCTGGCGGCCTCGGGGATTGTTTTGTACGGGGAGCTGTGGGTCTGCGCGGGCCTCGACTACGATTACACGTTGGATGGGAACGAAGAGGATAAAGCGGACACGATCGACTACAAGGACCCCTGTAAAGCCGGTAAGTGCCTCTCCAGGTCGGGACGGTGGCGTGCGGGGCCCGTCGCGCTGCACTCCCGAGGGGCGGCGGGGGAGCTCACCTGTTTCCTCCCCGCTCTCGCCAGCCCCTCCGCCGTCCCTCCCTCTCCTGCCGCTCTTTCCTGCCCCTCCCCACCCCCAAGGGGCAGCCGCCGTGGGCCGAGTTGACTGGAGTTCTGTGCCAGTGGGATCGAACGCCCAGCTCCCAGCTCCCAGTTGGGGAAAAACGTCCAGAGTTCGGGTTCCCTTCCCCTCCCGCAGCAAAACGAAACAAGCCGCAAACACAGCTGGCTTTGCCGCGGGGTTTAAATCCCAAGACTCGGCGGGCTATAGGCATCTGGGGGGGGGGGACTGCACCTCCTCTTTGTTCCGGGGTGCCGTTCCCCGGGGCTCGCCCGAGACCCAGTTGGTTAGTTTCCCCAAGATGGGTGGGAATGGAATTGCTACCCCGGGACACCTTTGCGACCTCTTTTGCCAGGGGTTTCGAGTGTGGGATCCCGGCGAGAAGGGGATCGTGACGACCTTGGAAGCTCTCTCTAGACGGAATTCACATGCATTTGCTCATTTAAAGTAAACCTTAAAAAAAATGTCCAAGTGGTTACCCCATTCACACTTGCGCCTTCCTTCCAGTGCACACCCCCCGGGTACCGCGGTTTGACCGGCACTGCCTGCAGCTCAGCTTGCCCTCGCGGGTCCCCAGGCGCCCCGGGACCTTCCCCGGTCGCCAGCACCCGTCCCGCGCCTCTGCGCGCCGGGTCTCTCCTCCCGCGCGGGGCGGCGCTTAGCTCCCCCCGCCTCGGGCCGGAGCCGCACGTGCCGCGGCCGCCGACCACGTGAGCGCAGCGTCCCCGGGCTCCGCGGGCGCCCGGCCCGGCGCATGGAGGTTGGCGTGACCCGAAGTCAGCGTGGACTCACGACCAACTTCGGAAGGAAGGTTACAGGGGCTGTTGGGGGCGAGTTGGTAGAGTTGTTTGTAAGAGGAAGGCACGTTCTGTCCCATCTCCAGAGGTGTGGGCTTTGGCGAGGCAGGGAGGAAGGGAGTGGGCAAAGTACCAAAAGTGTGACTGCCGCTCCGGACTCTGTGCGGGCTTGGTCGGTCTGTGGCGGCGACTTCTTCCCTTTCATAGCGAGCTAAACCTTATTCACCCTTTCGTGGTCCTGAAGAAAGGAGAAATGTACAGTGAAAGAAAATGCTGGAAATTCCCTTGTACCGTTGATGACACATTGCTCTGACGAGGAGAGTTAAGTTCGCAGTGTGCGCCTTATCAGATCTTCCTTACTGCGCTCCCTCCTACGGATGATAGTTACTCAAAACTTGAAGTAGCTTAGTAGAAACTTGTCAGTCTGGAACTCAGAATTCTCATTTAACTCCGTTTTGTGTGTAAGTTTCCTCCTGACACCTTTAATGCTAAATCTGTCCCGCCAGAAGTTTCTCGGGCCTTCCCTGATGATGGTTTGGAAAACAAGACATCATTCTGCTAGGCTGGGTGACTAGTAGCTGGACAGCCAGAATTTAGTACTGTAACAACTTCCCAAACATACTTTTTATTGAGAAATTTGTTTTGAATCGTGTTTACAACTGGGTGAAAATTGTGTGCTTTCTTGTTTTAGATAAAGTAGAAATGAAGTGTTGTTTCTAAAGATGGTCTAGGAATACTATGTCTATTCTGATGCTCTCTTGTGTGAAAGATTCAACCAGATATTAATATGAAAAGAAAAATAGGGCATGTGCATCATGGGCTTGATTTCAGGAAATTCAAGTAAAAGTTTATACCTTTAAAAATTCATTAACTTCAAATATGAATGTAAGAAGTGTCAACAATTAGTTAATACTCTTTTCAGAAATTATATTGTTTCGGCTTGTCTTATGTCAGAAATTGTCCAGAATAAGATTCCACAAACATAACTGTTTTTTCTTCTATTTAAGACTTTTTTCAATTTTGAAATTTAAATGGTTGCACCATGTGTATTGAAATATGACTCCAGGATAAATATTTATTATCCTCAGCAAATAAGCGTCTAGAGCAAGGAAGAACATTTCTAAGAGCATTTAGTTTTGGTTTTTCCTTCAGTATTGGGTTATTGTTGAGCATAACTGTTGAAGATAAAACAACTTTGAATGGATTATTACTCTAATCTTATTTCTTCCCTGTCTTTGAATACAAGAGGCATACCTGTGTGTACATGTATGTTGTGTATATATCATGAAAGAGAAATAAGACGGCCCGAGTGGAAGGCTGAGAAGTATGTCCAAAATCTGATATCACTTTTTAAAAAGTTTTTTTAATGTTTATTTATGTATGAAAGAGAGAAAGAGAGAGAGAAAGCGCGTGCGTGCACACATATGCAAGTGAGCCATGGGGAAGGGGTAGAGACAGAGGGAGACACAGAATCCCAAGCAGGCTCCAGGCTCTGAGCTGTCAGCACAGAACCTGACATAGGACTCAAACCCACGAACTGTGAGACCATGACCTGAGCTGAAATGGGGTGCTTAACCAACTAAGGTACACAGGCACCACTGCCAACCATGTTTTTAAATGATCAACCCTACTTTTCAAAATTCAGTAATGTGAAGGCTTTAATTTATCATCTTGGCTAAAGAGTGGCAAAATCCTTTTTTTTTCTTGGCCTCCCTTTTGGCACTATATAAGACAAGTAAAAGTTGTAATAAAAGTAGTACATTGAAATCCCAAACAAGAGTAAAAAGAAAAAGGTCACTAAAATGTGAAAGATGAGGACAGACAATATGAAAGAAGGCCACACAAAGGCAAGAGAGGGTGCTCTCCAGATTCTGGGGTACCTTTGATATGCCTTTCCAAGAGCAGAGTGGAGGACATGGGCCATGAAATAAAGTCTCCTTTTTGAACTTCTCTAACAAAGGTCGTAATTTTTCTCAGACTATACAGTGGCTTGATGTCATAATGACTAGTGAAATCATAAATTTTCAGCTCAACACAACAGCCTAATTGGGTGGAATTTGTGAATCTTCCCATTGCATAGATGGGAAAACAGATGCTCCATGAGGTCAAATGCTTGTTAAGATTATCCAGAACTTGATTCGAAGTCTCCTTGCTGCAAAACCTGGCATGCAGATAGACAGACAGACAGACAATAACACTGCATTCTTAGCTGGCCTTTTGGAGGCCTTCCTTGAAATGCAAACAATAGAAATTTGTCCATGTTTACTTGGAGTCTAGACTAATAGCAGTACAGGTACTTTCATATCTGATAAGCATGAAATGACTAAGAACATAGTTTCATCTTTTCCAAACCCCATTAGAATATAAAGTTTTTGAGGACATAGGTCATAGCTGATTTTTAATGTTTATCACAGGGAGATAGGTTACCACTGTTGGTATGTAGCTGAAGTTCTCAATTCCATCTTAGTATCTAGAGACTATAAATATTCATCCCTCATCTACAAACTGCATTTTAACCAATATTGTGATCCAAGAAGAAATATGAATATAACTTCTTAAAATTGTGCCATTCTTAATACATTTGTGAAACAGTATACTTTGTATATCCATGAGAACTCTAATCTCAAGTTCATGGGGTAGAAAGGAAGCCTTGTGTTAATGTAATTGAACTTTCCCTTAGACATTTGGATATAAGCAAAAGTAGATAAGTGAGTACAGCACTGCTTCGTATATATTTATATAGCCAAATCTGTTAGGGCAGAATATAGGTAATTAATCTCTCACTATATATAGATGAACACAAAGATGCAGATAATTCGAAGGAATATCTTTCTTCACGTCTTTCTTCCTCACAGTATGTAGTCCTCTGAGTTTGCAATCTTACTCTGTCTAGTTCAGAAGGTTCCTGAGGGATACCAGGAAGCTGATGCGGCAGGAAGTCATTCCAGAACAGAGATGGAGGTGTCCTGTTTCACTGTTGTACTGTTCCAATAGGTGTTAATCTGTGAAGAGCCTGGGCAAATTCAGTGTGCAAGTTAATCTCTCAGATTTGTCTAGAGATTCCCTGGAAAAACAGAAACCTGATAAAGCAGCTCTGTGTTCCCTGACTCCTTCCCTTCTTTCTTGCTTTCTTTCTCTTTTTGTATTTAAGGGGGTATCCAGAAAGCTCAGGCAATCGAAATATAAGAGGTAGTGAGGGGACTGAAGAATTTCTCTTGTGAATGATGGGTAGAGGCTGAGGAGACCAATGACGTAAAGTGCTTGTCTAGAAGCTTTGTCCTTTCCTCTCGGACAAGTGTGAACACCCTGAAAAAAAGACTTTCTGCTTTGAATCTTCTGAGTAAATGACTCCTTTCCTTGGAAAAAATCCAAACAAGATTAAAGGTCAGTGACTTGCAAGGTTAAATTTGCCTTTAGAGTGGCATATACAAGCCTGTTTACATAGAAATGGGCTTTTGGCATCCTAAAGGATTCTTCTGTCTGCTTTTCTTTGTAATCAATGTCCCATTGTCCTCGTCTACTGATTTTTGGGCTAATTTTCATAAATTCATAATTTCTTGGTAAAGATCTTATTCTTTTGGTCCTCAGTGCTCTATTTTCTAGCTTCGTAGCCAGCCTCTTAGGTATGAGGTTTTAGAATTTGATGTTCAACCCTGTGTTTATTCTGTCATAATATTAAATCTTGAGGCATATATTTCTCGGTCAGTACCTCTCTAGGCTGCCAAAACCTCATTTAAAAATGCATTTCGTAGAGCGACTTCTCTTAACCAGAGTCTTCTCTTTTCGTTTTCATTCCTCAGAGCTTGTTTTGTTGTTGTTGTTTTCCTTCTCCTGCTCCTGGTGCCAACTCAGAAGTGGCCAAAGTACGGTTTTTGCAAAAGGGATGGCTAGACATTATTATATTCTATACACTTGAATTCTGTTCACCATTTGCCAATAGTAATTCTTTAGCCCTTGTCGTGAGGCTCCGCATCCATTTTTGGCCCATAACTGGCAGTTACTATCACTAGGTATGAATTAGATGGACTATTTCTTTCTTAATTGTATACCTCATAGAGGAAGC